TATGTTAATAATTTTAATGAACATTTACAGAGATTTTGGATTTCCATTCATTCATTGTTGCACTTTTCTCCCTGCCCAGCCGTCCCCCCTCCCCAGTTCGCGCCTCTCTTTGAAAAGTAAAAGAAAAATTCTTTCTTTGATATACAATCCCCCTGCACCCCTCCCACCACCCCAAGTATACTCCACTATGCAATTGTGGACTCTTGTGATAACTATAATACCCTATCATATATTGCTTTTAAATTATTCTCTCCCTCATCTGTTTCGGTGCAGTATACACAATTTATCCAGTTTTTCTCAGTCTTACCCCAATCCTGATATCAGTCCCATTTTACAGCAGTGGCACCATGCAGTATTTGTCCTTTTTCGACTGAGATCTTTCACTCAGCATAATGTCCTCCAGGGTCACCCATTTTGAATAATATAGCATGAGTTCCTTGGTTTTCAATGCCGCATAGTATTCCATTGTGTGAATATCACACAGCTTCTCAATCCATTCGTTTGTTGATGGGCACCTGGGTTTTTTCCAACGCCTTGCTATTGTGAACAAAGCCACAATAAACATGGGTGTGCATATATCTGCTTGGATTCAGTTATGGTCTCTTTGGGGTATTCCAGTATTTAAAGTGGAATTGCTGGGTCAAGTATACTTTTTTTTTTTAATGGTTTCCCATTGTGGGCAGTGTTTGGTAGAGCTCCCAGTTGTAAAGGAGGTTGGGAAGCAGGAGTGGCATCCACTTCCTAAACCATATGCCTCTGGAAACTCTACGAACTTGGAGAAACAACGATAGCTATGGAAAGGCATTAGGTCTTTTGTTCATAGAATTGCTATGAGTCGACCTCGACTTGATGGCAATCAACAACATACTTTTTTCCAAAAGTTTAATATTTTTCTTTTTTTCCTTTAGACATGGGGAAGTCTTTTTCTCATTTACCCTTGCATTCAAATAAAGAAGATACTTATGATGGTGTTGTATCAACTGACAATATGAGGAATGGATTGATTAACAATGAAGCTCATAATGAAAATGGAAGAAGTGGAGATGTCTCTCAGTTTCCGTATGTGGAATTCACTGGAAGAGATAGTGTTACTTGTCCCACTTGTCAGGGGACAGGAAGAATTCCTAGAGGTATGTGTTATTCTTTTTCTCTTAAAGGTTATTTATAACTTTTGTACAAATACACAACTCACATATCTAAACCTTATATAATAAAAATCCTTAAAATTAAAATTTCATTTTCATTGCCTTTAGTTAACTTAGAGTCTGTAGGGAGTTGTGCTGCTAACCCAGAGATTTGAATCCACCAACAGCTTCTCCACAGGAAACTCCTGGGCAAACTACCTGGCAGATCAGTTATGAATTAGTTCTGGCTCTAAGACAGTTTAAGACGTTTTTATAGTAGCTACGTACTCTTGTGAGTGAAACTTTTCCTCCTCTTTCATGTCTGTAGAGGGAGTTATCATAGTTCATTTGCTACATTTTTAATTAGAACTTCCACCTCTGAATTATGCCTATTTTAATGTCAGTGGCAACATGTAGAAATGATAAAGGGGACCCTGTGCTTTTCTAAGAAGGAGTCTAATAGTGCTGTGGTGAAAGCATTTGACTGCTAACCAGAATGTTACAACTTTGAACCCACCAGCACTCTGATGAAAAAAGGTGAACCAGTGGCTTCCGTAAAGATTTACAACTTTGAAAACCCTGTGGGCCACTTATTCTGTCCCTTTAGGGTTACTAGGAGGCAGAATGAACTGAATGACACTGAATGTGATTGGGGTTTTGTGTGTGTGTGTGTGTGTGTGTGTGTGTGTGTGTGTGTGTGTGTGTGTGTTTGTGTGTGTTCTCATTCTCTGGTAGAAGTTAATGTGTGACCATGAAGGGAGACTGAAGAAGTGAGGACATAATGACAGTTAAAGGTGTATCTCAGTTAATGGGAAGTTCCTTGAGGGATGTTACAGTTATTTTTAAGTTAACCAGTTGAGTTTGACTCACTACAATTCAGTGGACAACAGGTCAAGATGTTGTATTCTGGACCATTTTCACAGTCTCCACCATGCTCAGATCAACAGTTGCGGTCACTGTGTCAGTCCATCTCATCAAGGAACCTCTTGTTCCCGCACATTCCACGTTTCCCAGCATGATTTTTTTTCCTCAATGACTTGCGCCTCGTGATAACATTCTCAAAATATGTGAGACAGTGTCTTATCATCCTTGCCTTTAAAAAGAACCTTGATTGCACTCCTTCCAAGGCAGATGTTCTTTTGACAGTCCTTGGTTTATTCAGTACCCTTCCAATACCACAAGTAAAAAACATTGGTTCTTTTTCAGACTTCTTTATGGTCTACCTTTCATATGGATATGAAACAATTGAAAAATACTATGGCTTGAGTCAGACACACTTTTTTGTTTAAACCTACGTCCTTGCTTTTTAGCATGTTAAGGAGGTCCATGACAGCACATTGGTCCATTGAGCATGTCTTTTGATTTCTTGTTTGATGCTAACTTGGATGTTGATTGTGGATCCAAGTAAATTAAAATCAGTGGCACCTTCAGTCTTTGTGCCATTTATCATGGTGTTCCCTATGGTTTCAGTTGTGAAGAGCTTTGTTGGTTGTTTTTTTTTTTTGTTGTTGTTGTGTGTTTTTTTTTTATGTTAACGTATAACCCATACTGTCGTCTGTGAAATGGATTCTGATACCTAGTGACTCCGCAGAACATAGAAATGCCTTGTAGGGTTTGCTAGGCTATAGATTGTTACACAAGAAAACTGCCAATTCTTTCTCCCGAGAAGCCTATGGTGAATTGGAACTGCCAACCTTTTGGTGGTGGTGGTGGTGGTGGTGGTTGTGTACTATTGAGTTGGAACTGACCCATAGCTGACCCTTCTGTAGTTTTTCAGAGGCATTTAATCACACAGGAGAATACCCCCTGTGCCACCAGGCCTTTATCAGCATGTAGATAGTACTTAAAGCCATTAGTTGGATGACAGCATCAAATTTCTTAGTGTAGATACAAAAAAATAGCTACCTGGCACTGAATCCTGGAACACTAATATTTCAAGTTCAGTAAGATGAGAAGTAAGTAGCAAAGGACACTGTTAAGAAGCAGCAAGAGTAGGAGGAAGAAATCCTGGAGTGTTTGTGGTGATTTAGGAGGTGCAGGTTGTCCAGGAAAACAGTGGGGGGGAGCAGAGATGCACTGATAACAACTATATAAGATGCTGCTCATAAATCGAGTAATGTGAGAACCGAGAACTGATTGTTGGATTTGGTAACACAGAGACCTTTCAAGAGCACTTTTGGTGCTTGAAAGGGAGAAACTTGTATAGAGTGGGATCAGGAGAGGACCAGAAGTAGAAGGTTCCACGTAAATTAAATTAGGTGTTGGTTTGTTTATTTTTTATTTTGATGATGATGATGATGATGATGATGATGATGATGATGATGGGTGTCTGTACCGTCAAATCAGATCTTAACTCGTACAGGAGGAGATTGCCCCTCCTTCTCCGGCAGAACATCTGGAAATTAGGGGGTTTTGTTGAGGTTTTTTATTGGCTTGCTTACAAAGTTTATATACATTGTATTTCACACTATCCTTCATTCACATTGTGTCTCGTGCAGTCATTCTCATGCATTATATTTTATAAAATTGGGGGTTTTAGGGGTTTTACTTCCAGAGAAAAGAACTAATAAGCTGGAGAGGCTGATGGGCACAAGAGGGATGTTTGAGAACAATCTGTAGATAAAACCTTCACTATTGGAGTGATGATTCTCAGTAGACAACAAAGGATAAGATCTAGTACACAAATGCTAGTGTTTGAAAAGTTAAAATGAATGGCAAGCTTCTGGTAAGATTCCAAGTTTGGCATTTAAAGTTTTTGTAAATATAACTCAACTCAAGGAAGACCTAACATTATCTAGCCTCTCCAGATAAATAGTATTTATTGGTGTTTAGTGCTGCGTAGTAGTCCATCATGTGAATGTACCACAATTTTGCAATCCATTTGGTAATTGATAGACATTTGGCCTGTTTTTATGTTCTTGCTATTGTGAATAACATCGCTATGAACATGAGCATACTAATCTCCATATGTGTTTCAGTTCTGTTTTCTGTGAGTATATTCCTAGCAGTGGAATAGCCAGGTCATAGGGAATTTCTATGTTCAGCTTTTTGAGGAAACACCAAACTGCCTTTCACAGTGGTGTATCAGAGTTCAGTCTCTCCACATCTTCGTCAACATTTAGTTTGCTCTCTTGTTAAACTTTGCCATTGCTACTAGGATGAGATGGTATCTCATTGTGGTTTTGATTTGCATCTCTTATTGCCAGTGATTTTTAGTATTTCATGTGTCTGTTGGCTATCCAGATGTCTTCCTCTGTGAAGTCTTTCCATGTCTTTTGTCCATTTTGTAATTGGGTTATCAGGTTTTTTTCTTGTGGAGGTCCATGAACTTTTGTTATGAGACCCTTGTCTGAGATGTTATTGCCTATACTGCATAAGACCATTATTATAAAAATAGAACGGTAACTAGTAAGATGTGTATAAATGTCCAAAGAGGGCTCAAGGTGGGGAAGGAGGGAAATCACAGGGTCGTAGACTCGGTGGGTGGAGGAGAGGGTGAAGGAATTAGGAAAGATACAGTGGGAATATGAAAAGACAGTACTAGTGAGCATAGATCAATGGTGATTACGTTTAGAAGGCACAGTATATGAGCATGATTGTATGAAGCACAATGTGAATGAAAGAACATGTGAAGCACAATGTATATGAATGAAATACAGTGTATATGAAATTTGTATGCAAACCAATGATAAATAATCATTTCATTTAACCCCCTCCCAGAAAAAAAGGCATGATAGAATTTGAAGTGACGCATGTGTAAGGGTCAAATCTGAAAGAGTCTTAAAGGCTTTGAAATTTGCGATGTAGAGTGTTTCTGTTTTGGTTTTCATGGTGAGCAATGTAAGAACCCCTGCCAGTTTAGGACATACTGGACATGTCAGTTCTTGTACAAATATTCCAATCAGGTATTAGTGTAGCCTTAAGGACCTGGCAATTCAGATCTAAATGCAGATCTAAATTATTTTCTAGGTCTTTCTTTCCCTCCAGTAGAAAAAGGAGAATAGGAATAATTATTCTTGGTGGCATGGCTATCTTCTTTTTCTTTCTTTTTTTTTTTTTTTTTTTTTTTACTAGTTAGGCTTTGAATACAGAAAAAACACAGTGTCTTTTTTGGAACTAAACTTTGGGTAATTTTTTAGGACCCTATTTTACAATCCCACCAACTGTGTATGAGAGTTCTCATCACATCCTCTCCAGTATTTATTTCTTATTGTCCTATCGAACTTTACAACTGTTACTGGGGTGAAAAGGTATCTCATGGTGGCTTTTTTTGCATCTGTCTTTTATTATTAATATTTTTATTCAGAAGCAGGCGTGGCATACACTTCTGAAATAGCTTGCTTCTAGAAACTATGAACTTAGACAAATGATGAAAGTTATACAAGCGTTCAGGTCTTTTCGTTCATAGGGTCACTATGAATCATCTATAGCTCGACGGCACTTGACAA